TCAAAACTCCAGACCGTCGCGTTAGCCACTGGACCAGCCTAGTTGGATGAATCTTATTGTGGCTAGCTGGTCCAGTGGCTAACGCGACGGTCTGGAGTTTTGTGACACTGACCGCGAGTTCTATCCCCACCCTTGGTATGGTTTGTTTGCAATCGTGTCATTACGATTTCGTGAATCAAAACCCAAGAAAGTCTGTGGGTAGAGGAATGTCTTGTCTTATTTCCATTGTGGTCGTTCAATCTTGTCCCCCAGGATGCGACCCACACCAGTCCACTAACACCAAGGTACCTACTTACAGCTAGGTGAACAGGGGCAGCAGGTGTAAGGAAACATGCCCAGTGTTTCTACCCAGCTGGGCATTGAACCATGAACACTCGTTGCCCAACCACAGATCCTGGGTTTGATCCTGGGACGTTGGGAAATTTAGGGCATGTTTCCTTATACCTGTTGTCCTTCATGTGGGTGCTACCTGGAGAGGGTTTCAGGGGTCAACGCCCCCGCGGCTCGGTCTGAGACCAGGCCTCGTGGTGGATCAGGGTCTGATCAACCAGGCTGTTACTGCTGGTCACACACAAACTGACATACGAACCACAGCCTGGCTGATCAGGTACTGACTTTAGGTGCCTGTCCAGTGCCTTCTTGAAGACAGTCAGGGGTCTATTGGTAATCCCCCTTATGTATGCTGGGAGGCTGTTGAACAGCCGATTTATGTGTGGCATCCTTGGGAAGGTAACCGATGGACTTAAATAATAAGCCACATGGGTTAACTTTCTTAAGTTATCCTGGGTTATTAACCCTCCAGGTTAATCTGGATATTGTATTAATCAGGGCCCGTCACTCGGTAGGCAATGCTTGCCTCACACACCGAGTGTCCCTGGTTCAGTCCCTGACCGGGTGGAAACGCTAGGCATGTTTCCATACACCTGCTGACCCTGTTCACCTAGCATTAAGTAGGTATCTGGGTGTTAGTCGACTGTTGTGGGTCACATCCCAACGAACATGACTAAAGGACCACAATGGAAATAAGACGGACAGTCCTCGATGACGCACTGATATTCTTGAGTTATCCTGGATGGCTAATCCTCCTGGTTAAAAATCCCAACAAATCTTATCTTACAGCGCATGAGAATGGGAGGCGAAGAAAAAGGAAGATAATCCGGATAACTTCTAGGATTTAAAACTAACAAACCAAGCACAAGTGTCGCCTCGCATACAGATATTTCTGCTTTAACATCCTACACTCTGGCAAAACAGCCTTTAACGTATTTTTTTTTTTTTTGCATTGAAGCGGAAGCTCTAAACCCGTAGGACCCCTTAAGGGAGGTTCCTTGACGCTGGTGAGGGGCTCTTGATCTAGGGAATTGGATCTGTGCTCCAGTTCCCTGAATTAAGCCTGAATACCTTCCATCCCCCCCCCTTCAGGGGCTGTATAATCCTATAATAAACCCACAGGAGTCATATAGCACTGGAGAATAGGAGGCATATAGCTTCGATCCAGTTAAGTAGAGGATGACTCCTTCTTCCTGGATCAAGAACCCCTCACTGGCATCAAGGCACCACCCTCAAGGGATGCAGTGGATTCTGCAAAGTTCCCCCCTAGTACTAAGATAATATCTCAGTTGTGGACGTGATAATCTACCACGACCTGGAGCTTGTTAGGATATCCTGTCAGTTGCTGATAGACCGTCGTATAAGCATCAGTGTAACCTCTCAGTGACTTGATTTTATATCAAGAATTGTCTCGTTATTAAATGTTTGCCAATGTGTCAAGTGTGTGTAAGGGTCATTAAGAATTAACATTGGAAAGGATAATTTATTGAGTTTAAATCCATTAACTACCCATTGTGGAAATATTTAGTCTATCAGCTGTACATCACCAGTCAGGGACACATTAAAGGCAGTGTATATACACTGAGGGATACACCTCGTGTATATACACTGAGGGATACCTCGTGTATATACACTGAGAGATACCTCGTGTATATACACTGAGGGATACACCTCGTGTATATACACTGAGGGATACCTCGTGTATATACACTGAGAGATACCTCGTGTATATACACTGAGGGATACACCTCGTGTATATACACTGAGGGATACCTCGTGTATATACACTGAGAGATACCTCGTGTATATACACTGAGGGATACACATATCGGTGTATATACACTGAAAGATACACATCTCGGTGTATATACACTAAGATACACCTCTCGGTGTATATACATTGTGTTGGAAAGATGACAATACTGTACCGTTTCCAAGTCCGTTCATCCATCGTAGTATCTGCTGAAGCATACATCTTTCATGACTGCCTGGGCAATCAGCTGTGCGCCACTTCGCATGTCTACATAGGATTAACTGTGTATACTGACACTTTTTAACAGCGTTGAGTGTTAATGCAGGGAAACACATGGTTGCCTCACAGACCTACCTAAACACCATGAAAGGTAAGACTGTTTATTTTATCGTTATAATTTGGATCATGTGGTATATATAGCATTTGATTGAAAGAAAAAAAATATGCCAGCTGTGAAAGGCTTTTGTTCCAAGGAATTGAGCTGTCCTCTCCTACCTTGATTAAAACTTGATTACTCGCTTCCTTTCCCCCAAAGGTAATCCAATCCTCTTATTTACCTCAGTAAATGTATTAGTTTAGTGTTGTCCAGACTGAGTTTCGTGAAGATATAATACAAATAATTTAGATCTTTACCAAATAGGGAACTTCAATTTGCAAATGATCGCATTTTCAAGGGGGTCCTTGTGTGGAAGGGCTCTTGATTAAAAAATGGAACATATCCCCCCTCCTTCCATCAAACTTCATTCCATACTAGATGCTCTATGCCTATGACATTCTTACTTCCCAAAAGGTAATAAAAATTCCATTTATATTCTACACAGGTATCTGAAGTGAACTATTTGTTCCTTTTGAGTGTTAATGAGTGGATGGTGCACAGGACCTTGAGTAATCATCCAGTTGACCAGGTAACGTATTTACGAATAATTTGGATCATGTTTAATATAGCAATTGTCAAAGTTCAAAAATTTGCAGTTGGGGGGTCCTGTTTGATGTGGAACGCCTCTCTAACCTTGATTTAAATTATACATAATGTCCTAGGTATCCCTATCTACACGTTACCATCATAATGAAGTTTATGGTCCCGTAGAAGTGTCTCTGAAAGGATACCTATACTGAAATTAACTTTAAGCTTTACCAATAATAGAAATTGTCACGTATAATGAAAGTGGTACTTATAAGAAAGTGGTACTATAATGAAGCGGTAACCTCAAATGATAGTGCAAAAAAGACTATAACTAATGGCACCTTTAAAATGTACGTATCATGCTAGGAGTGGTGACCTTGAAATCTCAAAAGATAATGAAAAGCACAAGTAGATAGTGTGACCAGTATAAGAAAGCGTACCAATGTGAATGATAAGTGGTCCTTATAATGTACGTATAATGGTGGTTACCTTAGTATCATGACAGTATATGATGAGGGTGACCCATTGAATGAAACGGTACATAATGATTTTAAAAAGAATGTAACCAGTTCTATAACAGTTGGTATATAATGAAAACGACATAATGGTTGTAACCTATAATGAAAGTGTACTGTTATAATGAAGCATACAATATGAAAGTGGTACCGTATAATAAAGTGGTACCTATAATGAAAGTGGTACCTATAATGAAAGTGGTCCGTTAAGAAAGTGGTACCGTATAATGAAAGTGGTACCGTATATGAAAGGGTACCATATAATGAAGTATGGTACAGTACGTATAATGAAAGTGGTACCGTATAATGAAAGCAGTACCATATAATGAAAGTGGTACCATATAATGAAAGCGGTACCATATAATGAAAGTGGTACCGTATAATGAAAGCGGTACCATATAATGAAAGTGGTACTGTATAATGAAAGTGGTACCGTATAATGAAAGTGGTACCGTATAATGAAAGCGGTACCGTATAATGAAAGTGGTACCGTATAATGAAAGCGGTACCGTATAATGAAAGTGGTACATCGCGTATAATGAAAGGGTACCGTATAATGAAAGTGGTACCTTATAATGAAGATGGTACCGTAAATGAAAGCGGTACCGTATATGAAAGTGGTACCGTATAATGAATAGCGACATATAATGAAAGTGGTACCATATAATGAAAGTGGTACCATATAATGAAAGTGGCACCGTATAATGAAAGTGGTACCTTATAATGAAAGTGGCACCGTATAATGAAAGTGGTACCGTATAATGAAGTGGTACGTATAATGAAAGTGGTACCTATAATGAAAGCGGTACCATATAATGAAAGTGGTACTGTATAATGAAAGCGATACCATATAATGGAAGTGGTACTGTATAATGAAAGTGGTACTGTATAATGAAAGTGGTACCGTATAATGAAAGCAGTAACGTATAATGAAAGTGGTACCGTATAATGAAAGTGGTACCGTATAATGAAAGTGGTACCATATAATGAAAGCGGTACCATATAATGAAAGTGGTACCGTATAATGAAAGTGGCACCGTATAATGAAAGTGGCACCGTATAATGAAAGTGGTACGTATAATGAAAGCGATACCATATAATGGAAGTGGTACCGTATAATGAAAGTGGTACCGTATAATGAAAGTGGTACCGTATAATGAAAGTGGTACCGTATAATGAAAGTGGTACCGTATAATGAAAGCGGTACCATATAATGAAAGTGACGTTACACTATAAATGAAAGCGGTACCATATTACTGATAAGAAAAGCGGTACCATATAATGAAAGCGGTACCATATAATGAAAGCGGTAGCGTATAATGAAAGTCTCCTACACTTGTAGCACCAGCACCACCCCCTCAGCGAGGGTGTGCAGGTGTTCTCATAACAGGTTAGTAGGTCAGAACACGCCACCTGGGGAGCCACAAATTATCACCATCATTATGAAGCCTCAATTACCTCCCAGGAAAGGAGGGTCGCTCAGTTGTGTGTGTGGTGAGGTCCTCGCTGCAGTGTTCCCCTCTTGTCAAACATCTTGGAACCAATACGAGAAACAACTCTGTGACTCGTTACAGTTTAAGGCATTTTGGTGACGATACAATATAGATTATGCGGTCATATGGAATAGAAATTTTTAAGTTAACGACGTTTCGTTATAGCTTGTGGCATCACACCGAACGTTTACGAGACAGATTACGTAATGTTATCCTGTGAGGTGATGTTTACAAAGGAAAAATGTCCCACGCGGGTTTGGCGCATTTTTACTAATAATAAATGAAAAAGGAAGCCTACTGAACTAACGATTTTAGTGATAAATTATTCGTATTGAGAAGGCTGCAATAAATGTGTCTTGATACGGGCTTAGCGCTTTTTTGTATCAGAATCTGAGTGCTTCCCAGTCCCAGGTGTTGTATGATCCCTATGGGTTTAGCGTTCCCACATGCAAATATATTGATCTGAGGATCAGTAGCCTATTTGAACATAATACGTGTGACACTAGACCACTAGAGACTTTCAGATGACAGTTGTAATTGTAGCAGGTTTTTTGAGTATAGTTTTATAAGAGTATCCCCTCAAGGAAGGTTCCTTGACGATGGTGAGGGGCTTTTGATCTAGGAAATTGGATCTGTGTTCCGGTTCCCTGAATTAAGCCTGAATATCTTTCACATCCCCCCATAGGCACTGCATAATCCTATGGGTTTAGCGTTCCCCCTTGGTTATAATAATTTAGAGTACAGTGCCTGCACTCTGATGGAGGGGTGAGGATACTGCAGTTTGGAGTGGCATTCGAGCTGTAATGTAGGCGTGCCTCTGGCAAGTCGGTGGAGTGAATGATGAAAATTTTTCCCCTTTCTCGGGGTCACCCGACCTCGGTGGGAGACGGCTGGTGTTAAAAAAATGTTTATGAAAAGTTGAGGCTGTCACCAGTGTGGTACAGTAAAGGCCAGCACCTCTGGCAAGTCGGTGGAGTGAATGATGAAAATTTTTCCCCTTTCTCGGGGTCACCAGACGTACGTGCTTTCCACACCAAATTAGAAAAGTAGCTTCCCAGGATGGCCCCCACAAGCAACGGGCCCGACCTCGGTGGGAGACGGCTGGTGTTAAAAAAATGTTTATGAAAGTTGAGCTGTCACCAGTGTGGTGCATAAGGCCAGCCCTCGAGTCGTGAGTGAATGATGAAAATTTCCTTTCGGTCACCCGACTCGTGGGAGACGGTGTGTTAAAAAATGTTTATGAAGTTGAGCTGTACCAGTGTGGGCAGTAAGGCCAGCAACATACGCTCGTTTTGGAGTGAATGTAATTTCCAGATACCATTTGCCATTTAAATTAGTCCAGGTTTAGCTTAATCCACCATTTTGCAACACTGTCCTTTATACCTTCCAATAATACAGTATATATAAATATACTAGCTTTGTTCTGAATTGGTTTGAAGCGTGGCAGCAAACGTCTTCAGTATAACCAAATACAATAGAATTAAATTGCCTGCTTGTGCTTATCATTTTCCATTTTATTCCACAAGTGGAATACGTATATTTATACACTGGGGTGGACATTATACAATTTAGAAGCCCTTGATATAAAAGCATATCGGAGCCTGAAATTATGTTAACATATATATGAGAATAAGAATACATAATTTTTTTTAAATATTGCAGGTATTTAGCAAATTCAATAAAAGTGTAATTCGAGATATATAGCTAAGTGCTAGGAAGTACTCTTTGAAACATAGCTACCTGTGTGAAGCAAGTATCCTAAATTAACTGTAACTAGTCACCGAGCAGTGAATAGTTACCTGGGTGTTAGTTACCTGTTGTGCATCGCATCCAGAAGACTGGAAGGACTTCCAGTGGAAATAAACAACACTGAATCTTTTGGGTTAACCGAGATTAATAACCATTCGTGGTTAATGATGCAAAGAAAGTCTACTTCATGTCCTATGTTAGGGCCATCAACTTCACGTGATATTTACCAGTAATGTGGGAGAACAGTGGAGGGCATAGTAGTGTGTCCACTGGGAAGAGATGCCTGACCAGCCCAATGATATGGAAATGAGTCTAACTTTGGACATGTGCTCTTCGCATTCTTAGGTCATGTATCAACCTGGCAGTAGATACATACAATGAAGTCATCATGCCTTGGGTTCATCCAGAGGGTAAGTATAGGCCTATTAGATGCCTAGTTGTGTAAGTTTTTTTTTTACATCTATTAGCAATAAATCTAGGGATTATGCAGCACGGGAATGGGAAGTAATCAGGTTTGATGCAATAAAGTGAAGATAATTTAAATTCCTTGGATCAAGAACCCTTTACCAGCATCAGGGTACCTTGAGCCCCCTGAAAGGCGTTCTTGATTCAAGGCATTGCAGCTACCATTCCCTTGCTGCACCCAGTCTGCTACAGAAGCGGATTGTCCCACTTGCTCAGCTTCCACTGAAGTGGCTGAGAACAAAACAAGGAGCGCTCAAATTTGAATGTGGTTCCCACTGCGCAGTAAAGATATCCTTGAGTTTACGCCTCAAGGTACAAGAACGTCTTGGCATGCAGTACTTACCTGTTACGTCAGTGTTCCCCAACTCCTCGTCTCAGTACTGTGTTAGCTCAGGGTGCGCGTATTCTATTTACAGTTTTGCTTGCATTGGTCGACTTACAGCTCCTGGTACTGCCTCTTAACCCACATCCAGAAGCTCTACCGATTTCTGGCACTATGGAGCGATCATATCTACTCTTGAAACTGTGTACTGAAATATTTGCTTCGCCCACCTCTTCACCTTGAAAAAAAAGTGTATCCTAACCCCTGTAGTTCAACTACATTTACGGTATACTATCTAGCCCAGCAGTTACCAGCTCTGATTCAGGCTTTAGACTAGTTTAACTAAACAATAAATAAGGATGGAGAGTCAGGGAACTGAGATCGATGTTTTGACTGCAAGTTTGAAAGAATTATTATGGGGAACGCACGAGTTTGTGATATTAGAAGCCTAGAGTTTTAATTTTAAATTGCTGGTTTTTAGTTTCTGTGTCCCGTGCTATTTTTTTTAAAGAACATATGCAATAACAAGTGTTCATTACACTTAGGTATTAAGAATGTTAATATAGGATAAATTGCAGCAGGCCTGCTGCCCATGCTAATAGGACCTATTCACACCCACCCACTCCCGTTCGAATATCTGTCCAACTTATGCAGGAAGGAAAATACGGGTTATGATATTTAGTTAAGGGGAAAACGTTTAGCTGTGAGTGGCTAAGCTGAAGAACCCACGAGTGGTGAAATGTTTAATGTTATAACTGTACTGTACTTGTGTTTTCTACGTCTTATCGGTATCATCATGCCCTTTACAACTTGTCATTACTATTTTTAAACCTATCCAGTGTTGAATGTTAATTAAGGACGATGAAGCCGGGTGTCTGTCTCTCCTCCCTTTAAGGAAGGTGTCTTGATGCTGGTGAAGGGTTCGTGATCTTTGGAATTAAATCCCCTTCCCCAGTAAAGGGTATTCAATAGTTGTTTAGATTCTGGCCGGGAGCTAAAACTCTACCCTCGCGAATACAGCGGTGGAAAGTGAGATTGGTAAGTTTATTCAGGTATACACAAATACAGTTACATAGATTATCATACAAAGCAGAATATGTGTAGAAAACCTAGGATAACCCCAAGAAAAAGTCAGTGACATATCCATTGGTCGAGCCAGTGTGACCAGTATGTGTGTTAGCTTATCGACTCGCACGAAATTCAATAAGGCTGTACATAACCTATGCACCACCCGCTAAGAATACTTTAATATTTAAAACGAAGTGACCTTCGTGTATATATACAGAGAAATGAATATTTATCGATGTTAAACACCTATTACACAGCTAAAAAGGTGTAGGGTGGGTTTTCTGATCATATCAAATTTTGGTATAAAACAGTCTAAAAATAATTCGAAGAATATCTAATGAATGAAGCTGCATCTGGGTTACTCATTGTGTTAATAATTATTAACCCTTAAACGGTCCAAACGTAGATCTACGTTTTTTTCAACATTTGAAAGTATGTAAAAAAAAACATAGATCTTTTTTTTTTTACATTTGAAAACGCGTAAATAAAACTTTGATGTACTTTTTTTTTGTTATTGAAAATATGTAAAAAAATGTAGATCTACTTTTGGAGCACTACGTATGTGAACGTAAATTTGTTTGGACAGTTTAAGGGTTAATATCACTAAGGGCATGGAATAAAACGGTATCTGTATATGACAGTGCAAAAAATAAAGCATATAATTTCATAATACAAGTACCTCAGTGGAAGTGAGTTACGCTGCTTGACTTGATTAGGTTACCCGAGGTTTTATACTACATAATTAACATATAAACATACTGTAGGAGTTTAAAATTGTGTGTACCCTAAATAAAAAGTTAAACGCCGTGTGTAACTAGTGTTATGTGCGGTTGAGCTTCTAGTTGAGAAAGTGCAGGCTAACAGGCAGTGCTGAGGAGTGGTCAGAGTAACTGTGAGGTTGAGCTTCTAGTAGAGAAAGTTCAGGCTAACAGGCAGTGCTAACTGAGGAGTGGTCCGAGTAACTGTGAGGTTGAGCTTCTAGTTGAGAAAGTTCAGGCTAGCAGACAGTGCTAACTGAGGAGTGGTCAGAGTAACTGAGGTTGAGAAAGTTCAGGCTAGCAGGCAGTGCTAACTGAGGAGTCGTCAGGGTATCTGTGAGGTTGAGAAAATGCAGGCTAGCAGGCAGTGCTAACTGAGGAGTCGTCAGGGTAACTGTGAGGTTGAGAAAGTGCAGGCTAGCAGGCAGTGCTAACTGAGGAGTCGTCAGGGTAACTGTGAGGTTGAGAAAGTGCAGGCTAGCAGGCAGTGCTAACTGAGGAGTTGTCAGGGTAACCGTGAGGTTGAGAAAGTGCAGGCTAGCAGGCAGTGCTAACTGAGGAGTCGTCAGAGTAACTGTGCGGTTGAGCTTCTGGTTGAGAAAGTTCGTAGCAAGGCAGTGCTAACTGAGGAGTGGTCAGGGTAACTGCTACTACCTCTGCTCCCATTTAGTTTGTAAAAACTAGTTTTACCGTGATACATAGTGTGAGAGATAACGCCGTTCATACGCCACGTTAAAACAAGTGGTACATCTATATCTGCGACCAGTGCAATTCTTAAACGACAAATATAGATCGTGGGGGCTTGTGGAAAGTGAAATTTGTGTGAAATGAATGATAGTAGCTGTCGGGAAATACTTGATACACCGTGGAAACATTAAGAGTTATTCCTCTGGTAGTTGTGGCTGTGATGGGTTGGCATCTTGATATACTGAAGAAAAATATTTGATATTGACTAATAATCGATATTTCATAAAGCTTATAAGTGTGTTTTTCCATAGCTTATACTTTGTATACAACCTCTTCTGCCTTTCCAGTGTGCATATTTTGTACCTAATTGACTGTCGTTAATTTCTTCCCGCTTGAAATATTACAGAAATTTACTGTCATCAGTCAAGTTACGTTTGGTTAGGTTAATATTACCTGGATACCCAGAGTCGTGGCCTGATCGAGCAAGCTGTTAGTGCCGGAAGCCCAGAGATTAATAACAAAAGAATGGTTATAACTGACCGTAATTTTTAAATGGGTGAACCGGTAAGCCAGCGGAAGGCCTGGGTCAGATGACCAAAAGCTCCAACGGCGGGTCATCATCTAAGACCCGCATCAGGAAATACTTGTCCTGTTTCCTGACGAACCTTACTTAACCTAAGCATCCCAGAGACCAATATATGTATCGAAGCTCGGCTGATCAGGACTTGTATTAAGGAATTTGTTGAGTTCCCTCCTGAAGACAGCTAGAAGTGTGTTGGTAATCCATTTTATGTGATGAAGGACGTTGAAGATAAGTTTAACCTTCTCCACAATTATAATCTCAGTAATAATTATAGAATTACCGACATAATGTTAGGTAACTGGACACAGATGCAACCAATGTTGCATTTTATTGTGGCAACGTTTCGCTCTCCAGGAGCTTTATCAAGCTTGGAGAGCGAAACGTAACCACAAAATGTCACGTTAGTTGTAATTGTGTCCATTTACCTATAATAATTTTTACTCAACACTTATTCAATAATTATGTTTTAGTAAACAAACTCAAGGGCGAGTTAGGTAAAAGTAATAGTTACATTAACGATGTAATCAAAATGTTCATGAAACTAGCACAGTAAAGCACCAATTATCCAAGATTCCTTTGACCAAAATTACTATACGTGGTTACGTGCGAGGTCGCTAATAATGGCTGGTCATTAGTGTAGGATGAAGTATTAACTGAACGTGGCTGTACCCTTCAAGGGAAGAGGGTGCCTTGATTCTAGTGAATGGCTCTTGATTCGATGAATTAGTTACCCCTTTAATGACTTGATAAAACTTTGCTTAAATTGTGTTTCATGGACTTGTAACAAAAAATAAAAATACACGTTTTTGCATACTGTAGATGCTGTAGACTAGTTCTAAACGTGTACACAACGTAGCCTATACAAAAAGGTTTCCTCTGCGTATTTCTTACTACCCTCCCCTTCCTCGGATCAAATCTGATTTGTTCCCATTCCCCAACCTCACTTTGACCCTTACACCTTCAATACCTCACCATGAATATTTTGCGAACAGTTGCGTCCACACGAGCTCGTCTGATCATCCCTCTAGCTGCTGGGTAAAAATCAGGTAAGAATGGCCTAGGTTAGAACTCTAGCCACAGTAAGCTTGACTATTTTGAATTACAGTCAAGCTTATTATTATCTAAGGGGTGGTTATGCAAGAAGGATTGTTGTTATACAAGGCTTGAGCTTGGAGGTAATAGTAGTAATAACAGTAGTAGTGCCAGCAAAGGTAGTAGTAGTAACAGAAACAATAGTAAAATGGTATAAAATACCGACAGGTTGTTAGGTAAGACACATATGCAACAGTTAGGTATCTTTATTTCGAAACGTTTCGCCTACACAGTAGGCTTCTTCAGTCGAGTACAGAAAAGTTGATAGAAGCAGAAGATACTTGAAGACGATGTAATCAGTCCATCACCCTTAAAGTTTTGAGGTGGTCAGTCCCTCAATCTGGAGAAGAGCATTGTTCCATAGTATGAAACAATATGGAGATGAAGTGACAGGATGGAGCCTTATATAGCGCCAAGAGGTGAGACGTAGGTCAC